ATTAAGGTCCATTTTAACCTTAGTAATAAACTGTATGGGATTAAACTGATAAAAAAATAAAACATGAGGGTGTTTTAATACATAAATCTCTCCCTTGTTGCTTTTTATTTATCTTTTCAGTCTAATACTACATTTTCATACTGTTTATATTAGGACTATTGTCCTCATCTTTGTTGATGTGATAATAACAATGATGGGCTCAATAGTCCAACAGTAAATAGTATAAATAACTTCTCATCCCAGAAATTCAGACAGAAATAATACATCATTAATCGTCACTGATTGAGTTAATACTCTCAAATCCTAAGTAGTCTCTCTCCCCAAACGTCTAATGCTTGTCTCTCATCCATTGTTTCAGTTAACAATGATTCTTAACTATGTTCTTTTCTGCTGCTATCCATTATTTTCTTATTTGTAATTTAGTAATATGAATAAAGACAAAAGGTAAATTTATCTTAGCCTAAATGTTTCGTCTTGCTAGGGACTTTATCAAGGATGAAGACAAAAAGCATTGGCTAAGATAAGTTTTCCTTTTGTCTTTATTCATAGTCCTTTCACATCTACTCTTCTGAAATTTTTCACATTTAATATGTTGAATAAAATAGATTGTCATTTGACTACTCAAACGAATAAATTAAAATATTGCATAAATTTTCTATAGTGACAAAGGAAAAATTTGAAGTTGATGAAAAGTTAAAAAAGAAAAAAATCAGCTTTAGTAGTAAAATTATTCAAAAGTATCATTAATTTGGAGAGAAAAGTATCAACTGTTGCTATGTTTCTTTAAAAACAAAGAAACACATTAATCTGAAATTTTCAAATATGAGTTAATCTATTAATATTGTTGGCTTTTTGCAAAATAAAACAAAAAAAACAAAACAAAAAAAAACATCTGGAATTAATACAGATGTTCGTAACTTTCAAATCCTGTCAGTATTGATCTGGAAGAAATTAGATACTGGTTCATATTGCAGAAATCAACTGAAATCACAACTTTAAAAGATGAAAAAAAGAAATTAATATTTGACCTATTTCTCTTTGTAATTGTTTTATTCTAGCTGCTTTAGATTTTAATCACACTTTTATTGTCACTAAACTTGCTATCATAGAAAACTTCATTCTTTTTGAGATTTTTAAACAGCATTGTTTTGGAAAGATAAAACAAATCAATTGGAAAATATTATTTGAGATTATGAGATTCTAACTCATTATCAATTGTGAAGACTGATTGCAATCAGTCCATCAGCTTTCTGATATTAAGTGGCTTCATGACTTGACTCATTAGGTTGTCATTCATTCATTCCATTGGTTCATTTATTACTTCATGACTTGTGTAATCTCTGCACATTTTTCTCCTTTTTGTATAAAGAATAATACTTCAGGGTAGTTTTATTTGACTTAAAGTGTGTATTTGTTTAAAAAAAAAAAAAAGTGTATAAATAAAAAGTAGCAACACCAAAAACAAAAACATCTTGAAAATGGCTAAAGAAAGTGGCTGAAAGTGCTTGGGACAATGAACTTTCTGTACTCCCTTACTCGTACAAAACAGTAAAATGTAAGGATTCAGGAAAAATTAAATAAAATATCAATTAGATCTTGTCTGCCATATTTAATGAAAGATGTTTAACCCATTCTCTGCCAATTATTTTGGGAAAAATGTTTCATTTTCAGACAAATTTTATTTGTTTTTAACATAGTAACTAAGAAACTGGGGCACCTTGGAGGACCTGAGTGGTGGCTAACACCTCTACCAAACATATGAGTTGACAATTGGACAAGTTTCAAGCTCAGAAATAAAGAATGAAGATCAACGTATAAACATGTTTAGCTGGTTTTTGAATGTTATCTTTTGAATGCGTTTATTTCACTGTGTCTGGAAATGACACCTTCAGTAAAAACATATACACATCCACTCCAGGGAATGTGTTAAAAAAAAAGGCTGCTGCCCAAATATACATTAATGTGTGTGCGCGTGCACACACACACACACACACACACACACACACACACACACACACACACCTTTTTTTTTTTTTTTTTTTTTTTCATGATTGTCTTTCCTTTATGCTTTAGTTTTGAGAATAATTATTGATCTTAAAATTCCATTTATTATCCAATAAGGAAATGCTGAAATGACATTAATGTTCTTACTGATTTACTTGTCAGCCTCCACACACATGAAATTAACAGAAAACTGAAATATGATCTAGCTATTGTAAGACTGAAGAATCAATCCAGTTCTAAAATCTTGACGAGCCAAAGTAGTTATTAAGGTTTCTTGAGTAGCTTGTTATATTTTAAGTAGGATAAAAAGTACTACATAGCATAATAGTTTTTCTATGTTGAACAGAATTGTTCTTTATCTCAATCTATTCATTTTTTTCCTCTTATTTCTTTCTTCTGTGGCATTGAATAATTCTGGTATTCATTGTTATCTGTCCTTGCAAATAATGTAGGCAGAATGAAAAGAGGTTTTCTTTTCTGTTGAGATCATTGTTTTAAACTGTTTGAGTTAACAATGTTGTATTGTTGTATAAACGTTTGTAGCTAATGTTAATAATGCACTCTTTAATTCATCCTTTGCATATCAAAACCCTTTCACAAAGATATATTTCGATGCTAATTCAAAATTCCAATTTTGTTGTAAATGGCAGGTTAATATTTTATTATAATTAGTTACATGTCTATTGTGTAAAGGATTTTTTAAAGCTATCAATTATCAGGGCTAATTTATGTTAAAATTTCATTGATTTGAAGTAATAAAAATTAATATAAATATTAGATTATGTGTGATTAATTGAAAAACATTCCCTTAACTTGAAATGAAAATTGTATTAGAAATAATTTCGTGATAGCAGCATATTTATATTTTCTTTTACCAGATAAAAAATTTAAGCATCCTATTAAGTACTGAAGTTTATTGCTACCATTTTTGCCATATTTATTTATTTAATAATATTGTTAAAGGTCTTACATCTATTACTATTGATTAATGTATAAAATTTATCATTGTACATATTTATTTATCAAAATATTCCATCTTGGAGAAAATAATTTTTTGTATATTTTCATGATACCAGCTCTTATCTTTGGTCAAGAAATGCAATAGGTTTGGTTCAGACCAATGACAAGATCCTTTTAACAAAGTGATGTGTAAATAGGGAGAATTGAACATGTCTACTTTTAAGTTTGTTATATTGTGTATGTACTTGCAGTTATTTCTTTGTAATCCATGCAGGTTTTAATATATATATATACATACACACACACACACACAATAAATTAATAACTACTTAATGGGGCTTAAATTCTCATCTGTCAATATTTCATTTGTAAAAGTAAAACTTTTAATATATAAATATAATTAATTACCTAGTTCCTTTTGATAGTATAATGGTATTCCATATATATTCGATTGTGCAAGTTTTTGTGATCAGTTTTTTTGGATTTTTTTTTTTTTTTTTTTTTTTTTGAAGAGGTTAAAAATCATGTATTTTTCATGACCAGATGCACATAAGTAAATTTTTTTCTGGAGGGGTTAAAATTAATTCCTAAAAATTCAGAGGTTTCACTGTACATGAAATTGGCTTATACACTTATTTTTTATCCATCTGTAAAATTCATATTCATGAACATTTTTTTTTTATCTTAGCAACTTTTAAATAATCCTACTATATTTTTTTATTTTATGTATAATTTAAAATAGTGTCTTTTCTCAAGTGGTCTTCAGAGATAACATTACACAATAAACAAAAACTCTTTAAACTGTGTGTTTTAATATGGATATCGATAGAATGCATTTTAGACTAAGGTGAACGTAACCTCATTTATTTATTAAAAGGAAAACTTTCATTTGGAGAAATTAATTCTCACTTTTATAATATTCAGGTTTGAATTTTTGAGCTCTCATTATGGTTGAGATGTGTACAGTCATAAAATTATATTGGCTAAAAATATTTGGCTTGTCATATTCCATATTAAGAAAAGTTTATTTTTTATTTCATGTTCATAAGATTTAATGTTTTAAGAAATTGTAAGAACCTTGATAGTAAAAAAAAAAAAAAAAATCAGATTATATTTTTTTTAAATTTAAAATACCAATAGTGTTTATAGTTGCTTACTCAGTTTTTTGTATGTCTACCAAACATTAAAATATTTTCTATTAGCTTTTAGAATATTTTAATTTGATTCTCAATCATTCATTGCTTAAATTAGATGAATTAAAAAAAAAAAAATGAATTTGTGATGTTTATATATATATATATATATACACACACACACACACACACACCTTGTTTATATAATTTATATCATACTCATTCCATATTTCTGTTATGCGCAATTCCTTTTTCATCTCTGATAAAAGCTTCTAATCTCTTTTACTAGCATCCAGAAGCACATTGTAAATTTATTTTCTATTAGTAAATCTTAGAATATAATACTGTCTGCATTTTTAAGCAATGCTTATCTATCAGATTCATAGAATTCTGGTCATCATATATTAAGTTTTAAGGCCAATATTCATACCTTGCATAACTTCTATTAGATATCAGTTTAGCAGGTTTAAATTTAAATATAAAAAGTTAATTAACTTTCATTTGCTGAATTATTTTTTTTACTGTAAATGAAGCTATTCCAGCTACAGATTACCCGTCAACCTTATTTTATTTATTTTTTTGTAAGTTTCCATAGAAAAGTTTATATTGATGGCTGTTATGTGCAAATTGCTATTGGAATTATTTGAATCAAATTGGTTTCATTGATAAGTTAAATATCGGTAATTTTATTGTTTGCTTTTGTATATTCTGTTTTACAACTAATTGGTTTGTTATGAGATAGTGTTCTTGTTTTGACGTGATCAAAGTTAATATTGCAGAATTGAGATTGAAACCTAGTAGTAAACTTATTTTGTATAGTTCAGTATATTTAGTCTTGCATTATGTATTTTATTTTTATTTATTTATTTATTTTTTTTTTTTTTTTTTTTTTTTTTTTTATAGGCTCCACCAGATGTTGTCACACCAGAACAAAGACAAGGTGCCGAAAAAATAATTTTAAATTTCAGAAAATCCAAACTGCCTTATTCCATATGCAAGTATATTTTAGGTAAGTGTGTTTGTATGTTATATTTGTAAGTTTTTATTTACTTCTTTATGCCACCCCAAGGAATTTTCAAAAAATTAATTCTATTGAATGGAAACTAAAAGAATTAATATACTTTTTTATTTAATTTTTTAATTCCTTTTATAAGTAAATGCTCTATTATTGATTCACTTAATATAGTATATTTCTCAAATTCTTTGAAAATTGAGCATCATCTCATTGACTCAAAAAGAACATTTTTCTATTGAACTATAATTTATACATAATTGTACATTAATTTTCTCCTTTCATTGTGTTATACTTAAATAATGTCTAAGTAGTTTGGTATTAGAATATATTGAAAAAGAATTTTACTAAAAATTCAGGTTCATTGCTGTAGTGAATACTGATAAAAATATTCATTTGCTCTTATTTAATTTAAAAAATATAAAATCTTTTCTTTCTGTACATATGTACTGTAACCTTTTCTTAAAATATAGTGTTTTATTACCATTATATCTATATGTATCAACTTAATGTTTGTTAAAAAAAAAATTGAAATTGTATTGTTTAGCAATAAGCTTTGCATTGTATAAATTAATTTTTAAACAATTTAACTATGGTCCTCTTTATGCAAGAAAAATAATTATTTACTTTATATATAATTAATGAAATGTGAAGATAGTTAAATGAATATTGATGTAAGAAGTGAGATTGGGGAGCCAAGTTCAAATTCTCAGCTTGTCGTATTTATGTTTGCACTAATACTCTTGGGAAAGGCACAAATCTCTCTTCTTTCCAAAGCTTGGTGTTAAATAGTTATGAAAAAACTGGTCCCTCTAGTTTTGGGCAGCAACCAATCTAAAAAAGAAAATTCTGAATTCAAAACCATGGCAACAGCTGTCAATTCAGATTTAAAGAAAAAGGAATCTGGAGAGTTATAATCGCCTATGTCTTTGAAGGATCACTACATTTAAGAGAGAGTAATAAAAGAAAATGTCTTTCTCTCTCAAATCCTTTCCTGTTTCATTTAGTATATGATTGTTGCCATATATCAATAAGTTATCAACCATCTCAAATTTAACTACTTGGGAATTGAAGTAGTTATGTACAGTTTATTGGTAGCAGTAGTTAGTGTTTCTTCTTGAGTAAAAGCCAGGATTTTAAATATTAACTTTTCAAGACTGGCAACTTCACCCATCCCAAACAAATTGTTTATCTGGTGCTTTAATGTGTAGGTTGTCTTGCCACTTGTCAAAACATTGTGCAATTCATGTGCATATTGATAACGACACCACAAACAACCAAAATACAATTATTCTCATGAGACAAATATTAGTGGATGATAGCAAAATACTATATAGTACTTACTGAAAAATATTCAAAACTATTATTATGCTAAAACCAGTAACATTAAATAAAATATTTCACTGCAGGAGATGGTATTTTTAAAATGTATATTAAATATGTTCATAAAATAATGTGTATAAATATTTGATACATTCTATTCAGATGCTGTCTAGCTCTGTGAAACTGTTTTACACAATATACATATATTTTAACTAATTTATATTTTAGCATTAAAAAGAAGAAAAGAATAGCCAACAAAATCTTGTCTACGATACTGACAACATCCAATTCTTGGTTGAAAGTACTTGAACAAAATAGAACAAACTGTGGAGAGTTTATCCATAATTTATTTTGGGTCTACATTTTATTTGATAATTACAAAAAATATAAAAACTTAACACACAAAGCTTGTCAGTTGAATTTAGAAAAACATGGTTAAATGAATTCATTTTATTATGATTGTCAATATTTCAAAATAAAATTGATATTAACTGATGTTTGTGACATTTACAGGATATATTTGTTATATTTCAGCTAGTAATATCTTTATGAAAAATATTGAAAACTTGTTTTTGGTGATGTCAAGTTTTATTATACAAATAAACTAAGTGTAGTATAAACCTTTTATTTATAGATAGGTTCAAAAGATGTAGGTCATTTTTATTATTTTACAAACAAACCCATATTTATAACTTTTCAGGCATTGATTTTGTTAGCTTTTGTTCTCTTTTCTATAGTTTCAATTTTAACATTACTTGTAGCAGTTTGTATTGCTTTCGAGAGATCTTTTGCTTGAATCTTTTTCTCTCATTCTTATATGCATCTCTTTTAATGGTATACCACAGTTTTTCTATTGAATTAATGTCTGGAGAGGTTGGCGGGGGCCATTCCATTAATTTGGTCTTTTAAAACCTTTTTGGCAATGTGTGCAATTGTCAGCTTTGCAAAATGTGAAGGAGCATTGTCTTCCATAAATATCTTAAATTTTATCAATGTTGGTTGGTTAATAACAAACTTGTCAGATTTTATTATGCAAGTTGTAGTGTAGATATGCTATAAAATATACTAGTTGATATTAAATGAAAGTAAGTACCTCTTTAAGGGGTGAGGAGCTTGATACGATTATTCCTCCTCCTCTTTTGGTTATGGTACAAGAATTGCATGCTTCCCATTCATGATTAACATCCAAAGAGTAATGACTGGGAGGATGGATACAAAGGTGAATAATAGGAAATATTGGCTTTATTTTTTATAAAATCATTTCATCCCAAGAAAGGCAATAAAGCCACTAAAACACAAGGGGTTATGGTGTATGAAAGAATGAGAAAAAGAAAAACATTAAGGAGGGAAAACAATAAAAGAACAGGAATTAAGACAGATGATAACAATAAATATTGCATTAAAAATTTTGAAGATCACACTTGACTTGAAAGCAAAAAGCTGGAAGAGTTCCACAAGCAAGAAGTGTGAGAGAATAAACTGTTTGCATAGAACTTACGGTTGCATTTAGCAGCTTCAGCTGTAAAATGAGACCTAGCTGTCAATCTAGTACTGTGCTTAAATTCATAAAGTTGAAAACTAAAGAGGAAAACTTGTTAGAACAATTACCATAAAAATATTTTTATTAAAGGCAGGGGCAAGCTATATTACAGCAGTTAGAAAGTGACTGATGGTAAAATACCAGGTCAGGACTGATAACATTGCAGATTCTTTTTTGTATTTTATTGTGAATCTCTAAATACATAGCAGAAGAACCAGACTAGATGTGGCAGTAATATTAAATGTATGAATGAATGGTAGACTTTTAGTGATTTTCTAAAGGTAACTTAGATGTGGCACAAGGCTGAAAGCATGAAGCACTCAGTGAGGATAGAATTCACTATTCAGTTGTAATTGATGTAGTAAGACAAGCTTACTAATCATTACATCACACTGAAGTGTCCTATGAATGATAGACTTATGTGTAAGATATATGATATTCTTGGAGGTCGTGAAAATGAAAAATGGTCACTTATTGAATAGAGTTGAGTGGGGCTTAATTTGGTTATATCCAGAACCAGTATTTTAAGATGCTCAGCTTAAGATGTATTGCAAGTGCAATGTGTTTCTGGTAGAGTTTAGTGGCATCATAATAATTTGTAATAGATTTCTGCATGCATACATCTGTTTGAGAAATAGATTATTAGTGTGTATGTAACTGCAATTCCTGACAGAAGGATATTAATTTTTTTTTGTACAGGTATAAGTAGGTTATTGATTTCCTTAAAGGATGTGGGCAAAAAAAAAAAAAAAAATGAAAGTAGAACTTCATTCATTGAAAATTCTTTATTTATAATTATGCTCTCTTTTTACTCCAGGATTTCTAATTTTCCCTATTTTCAAGTGATATTAATATTTCAATGAAGATGTGATTGAAAGGATGCTATACATTTTGATGATTTATTATTAAACCTATAAGCAAGTTACTTTGGATCAGAAATGGGAATTATGATTTTAAAAAAATGGGTAACTGTATCTTCAGTGTTTGTGTAGTTAGGCATTTTCATTGTGCTATTTTAACATGCAAGTTTCCATGGGGTTTTGGGCAAGGATCTTATGTCAAAATGTTTTATTGGTTGGTGTTGTAGTAATATAGAAGATTTGACTCTGTTCTTTATTAACCTGACATACTAAAAATACCTGTATCGAAATGTTTTCTTTTAAAATTTAGTAAACCTTTCACATGATTAAAATCATTTATTTAATATTGCCCTTAATTGAATATTCTATTTTATCGCTGTAAAAAAGATTGATATCTTTCCTCAAAATTTCAGCAAATCTTTCACACAAATGAAATCATTTATTATTTAATATTGTCCTTAATTGAATATTTTATTTTATTGCTGTAAAAAAAAGATTGGTAACCTTTCCTCAAAGTTAAAGAAAATGTAATAATCAATGCTAAATGCGTGCACACACACAAACTCTGTGATAGAATAATCACCCTTATTCCAAATAAGAATGATTCAGTGGTTAGTAATTTGTAATATTGAACCTTATCAAATTTGGTGTATTTTATCAGTTATTAATAGGGGAGGGAGTCTTATAGGTCTTCATTGAATCATAATGCAACTTGTTAGTTCTAAATTACTACTCACCTACAACTGCTAAGGAAATCTTTAGCAAGTGACTTTTTAGTAATATCCAATAATGAGCTAATTAACTATACTTTGTATTTGGAATCGGTTATTAGTTCTTATTGATCAAAAATGTCTATCAATCAGAAAGTGATTTCAAATTTACAAAAATAGTCATTAATGAAAAGAATTCTTTATGAAAAATATTGAATAACAAGATTCGAAGAAACAATTTCAATAATATCTGAAAGTTTTATTTTATGACTTGTTTTATATATATATATATATATATATATATATATATATATATATATATAATTGTCACATTATTTGCCTTCCTTTTATTTTAACAAATATGAACTAAATGATTAATGTTACCATGCTAAGATTTTAAGATGATCTCAAAACCCTTTAGTGCTGTTTTTTTTTTTTTTTTTTTTTTTTCTTGAACAAATAATTCTAGAAAAATAAATTTTTTATATTGAAATGATGCATTTCAGAAATTAATAAAGATCTTTGTTAAATAATTTCTGCAAGTCTTTAACTTGACAACAATAAGGTTCATGAAACAATTGGGATATCCAGTGGCATGTTCAGAATGCCACTTCATCCAATATCCACATTTATACATGTATATTTTTTGATACCAATCAAAAATGTTATCAATCTTTTTTAGAGCAATAAAATAGAATATTCAATTAAGGATAGTATTAAATAATAAATTATTAAATTCATGACATGTTTACTGAAATTTTGAGGAAAAGTTAACATTCTCCTTGATTCATTGTATTCTTTAACATTAACTTTCAATTGAAGTAGCTTTTTTTTCTTCTTTTTTTTTTATTTGCAATATGAAATTTCTCAATAACATTTTGAACTTTGTCTTAAACAAATTCATTTTTAAGCCATAATAAAATTCAGCCCATTGTCAACTAAATATGTTAAGAGCAATCAAACCATTGTATCTATGGTTAATGGTCACACTAGTGACCTATGTTTTGAATGTTTTAATTCATTTTTTCTTTACTTTCCCTACATTTGTTTTACCATTTATACAAAATTAGCATGAAATATTAAATTTTCATTTATATTTGATGTTGTTTCTTTCAAAGAACTTCTTTCTAACATCTGTAAAATGATTTTCCTAGAGAGTTGGAAATATTTAATGATACAGCTTTTTTTTTTTTAATATTTTTTTTTCTTCCTCTGCTTTCTGATAAATCATAATTGATTCCTCATGCTAAGTGTAGTTGCTAATTATTGGATATCATGTCCTTTGTTAAAATGTTTTTTCTCATTAGTTGTAGGCTAATAGTAATTTATGGCCAACATCCTCACCTAAAGTCAGATTCTTGGTTACTAGGGAGTCTTGTCCATAATTTATCAGTAAATCACATTTTAAATAGGAGTTGACATGCCGTTAAATCCAACATCCAAATCACATTTTAGGGTGAGATTTTTTTTTTTATATATAGGAAGATCAGAATGGGTTTTTATTTTTTGTACTCCCCCCACTCACTCCAATTTCTTTTGTAAATAGATTAATCCCCCTATCTTCTTTTTTGATATACCACATACCTGTATGAATGGCACACACACACACAAAATATATGCCAAATGCATATGGTGACTCATTCTGTAGACCTCATCTCTCCTAACTAAGTCTGTCTTTTTTCCAAATGCTAGATTAGCTGACTCACTGATGTTTGTAAGTTATATTCATAGAATAATACACACACAATCACGCTTCTAGCTTCTTTGCTTCATTTTAGTTGTTTTAGTTTTCATGTTTTAATTCTATTTTGTTTTATTTTAAATCCAAATTTTTTTCTTTTAATTAGTCTTAAATTATAAATTGAGGGTTGTGTGGAAAGTTCCAGTTTGAGAGCATTTCCAGTTTATTCTGTATGAATAGATGAGAGAGGGAGGAAAACTTCATTTCATTTGAAGCATTTTGGTTTTAAATCTTTTTAGAGATGGCTACTGTAAGAAATTAACCTTTTTAGAAATGTTTGTTTGAGATATATATATATATATATAGAGAGAGAGAGAGAGAGATGGCTATTCTTGTTTTCCAGACCCACCTGTTTGCTCAGGCAGCTAGCTAGCCTCTGTCACACTTGCTCGGGCACATTTATTTGTTCAACACCCACAGAGCCCAACTGTGGTTTATATGGCAGCTATGCTGAGCAGACCTTAGTTACAATTTCTGAGAGAGAGAGAACACACAATCTGTCACGATCAGCAGTTTGAACAACACCGATATGTTCAAACCCTCGATCACAATGTTGTGTGACTTTGTGCAAACACAAACATTTATGGCTTCCGAGCAGTTTGTCTACCTAATTTTACTCACAACGCTTGGGTTAACATGTGGTATGGTTTTCAGGAACTTTTCAAAGGTGTTGCACACTAAAATCACCACTCTAGACTGATAAATATCAGTCACCTTGATAAATTGACTATGGTGAGATCCAACCTAGCTTCCCTGGATATATATATATATATATATATATATATATATATATACACACACACACCACACATACCTTGGTATTTTATCTTAATTTTTTGAATTAATTCATCTTTATGCACACTTAAATTATCTTTTTAGAACCAAATATTTTGCACTCAAGTTATAAGAATTTGGTTTAAGAAATCTGATGTATAGTTTTTATTTTTGTACTTTTCTGTTCCAATGACCAATACTAATGGCTTCTGTAGTACATAATCACTTGATATATAAACAAAAGAACTTGAAATTGTGTTATTTTTCTCCAAATAACTAATCTTTTTACAAAAGGCAAAGAGATGGAGTTAAAATTTACTAAGAACATTGAATTTTCTATGATGACTTTAAAATAGAATGGAAACTTACACACTCATAAGTTCTAGAATTTGTACTCTAATTAATTCTTGTCAAATTATTATTAATTAAATGATTTTTTTCTATCATTACCAAATTTCTATTTTTTTTTCTCTTTGTTTATTTCAGAAAATTGCAAGTGTGACTACGTTTTATTTCAAGCAGCCACCACAATCAAAGAAAGTGTTGTCCGTGAGTGGCTTTTGCTTTCATCTGAAGACATAGAATCTCTAAGATCATTCCTTCTTCATTTTATTACTCAGCATGTCAGGTGAGTAATTTCATTTCATTAACAAATTATTATTCATAGGAAATAATGACATCGGTCTTCATAGTTTCTTCATGTATATTTCAGATTTACTGAGCAAATTCCATGAAACTTTTTTTTGGAAAGATGTAGAAATATTTGGTTTCTCTAATGTTGATAGAATACCTCCCCATGATATATTTTTCTGTACTCTTCAACATTTTATCAATTCTGATAAAAATTGCTTATGAAACTACATAGTTGCTTCAACAAGATAACTTTTAAGAATACACAAGGTGAATAATAATTTGCTGCTATATAAAGTAAAGGTCTCTTATATATGTGCGCACTCATGCACACACATATTTCTGAGTGAATATTACTAAAATATCCTTAATCCTATAGACTAAATATTTCTTTTTAATATAACATTTTGATTGTTTGCTAATACATTTAGACAGAACCCAAACTAAAAACAATTTTCTCCCAAAAATGTGAACTGTGAATACTATAGTTTTACTGTAGTTATAGTTGCCAAACATAGAAAGTATAATCCACTTCCACCAATGTGAAATGGCTACCTGACTAAACTAGTTCGTAAATACTCTATCCAGATGAAGTCTTACAGTGTCATGAATATTGGTATTTTACTGAATTATTTTTTTTAAACATAGATCAACAATTCAAATTCCTTTTGTTAGCTTTTTATTTTTCTATTCACAGAAATTCTATAACTGTTTAAGTTGAATCATTGTCTATTTAGGTATCTAAATTTTACTTTTATGAGGAGAAGCTGATAGTGTGTCAATTATATTACTATTATTATATACAATGTATTAAGACTGAATTATAGACTTAATACTTTGAGTGGCAAATATTAAGTTTGTATGTAATGTGGAATAGGGGGCAAAATGTATTGGGTAGTAAACCACCATGCCACATTTTCTTTTCATTAGGATATTTCTATGTGTAATAAAAATAAAAAAAATTCTCAATAAAATCTATTTTTTTCCTCTTCAGTTTGCAGTAAATGATAAAATTTACCTGTAGGCAATGATTTAACTAAATATTTATTATGCAAATATTTTCATTCTCACCTATACAGCTAAACTTTGAAGACTGTAAAATAAAGCACTTGTCTTTAGTTCTGAGATGGGAAGACATTAATGAATTAGTAAAGTACAATGAGTACTTTTATTTTTTTTTGTTATTTCCGAGCATATAAAAGTGGTATAATTGGAAGTTTACTTCTAATCTTTTATTTCTTGATATTTTGTATTTTGTGTGTAGGTCAATTAATTTTATTGTATTTTATGCAATAAAAATATTCTTGTATCAATTTTCTTTAATTGATGTATAATAGGGACTCTTTACATTAAACGTTAAGCTCTGATTAAAGACTTACTGCTGATTTACTTTTTATGCTTAAGTGTAAATCGGTGTTTCCACTCAGTACAAATATTTGCCATTTAATACAACTCAATGAAGAAAACAGACTTAGCTGTTGATGAAAATCTCTAAGAATAGAATAAAAACCTAATTGGACATTCAAGCATACAGATCTACTTTTCTCATTTGTAAATCTAGCTTTGTGTATGATGTTTATTAGTCAATATGATAATGAGATAATGTCCTTTTGTAATACTCCAGTAATTTCATTGGTTGTTATGTTTATTGCATGCTATTAGTCAGTGTATGCCTTACTTAAAAGTGGTACATGAGAATGATATTGATTGCTGCATATTGCTATCTGACCTGATAATTCTATAGTTCTATTTCCTAGTGTTACATCTTGAAAGTGAATTAATAGTCCGTGCTTTTGTAATATATATATATATATATATATATATATATATATATATATAAATATATAAAACTCAAACAAGTGTTATTAAATTCAACTGATAAGGTCTGTTTAATTTTTTTATTTTTCGAATAGGTCAGGATTGAAATTGTGGATAAAATGCCTGAAGTTCATGTTTGTTCTGTTTTTGTTCAAGAACTTTCCATTGCCTCAGTCATTATCAAGAACCATCTGCTATTAGTGTGGTAGGCAAGATTCTGTTATCTGGTATTTTATAGAGAGTTGAAAGTTAAATTAATCCAAAGTGATGTCACATGTAACAGTTAAAGGGAACAAGACTACACCAGAAATAAAATCTAAAAGTTGAAAAAATGTAATAATAGACAAAAAACAAAAACACTTACATGGATGATTACTTGCTGCCTAAATACACCTTTTATTTATTTTATATATATATATAATAATTAGGAACAAACTTTAAAAATCCATTGTTAATAAATTTATTTCAGTGGATATAAGCATACTCATTCTCATCAGACTGATTACATTTTATGAACAAAAAGTCCTCTTTAGTATAATTGCTACCAATTACAATTTGGTATCATATATATATATATATATATATACACACACACACACACTAGCTGAAGTACCCATTTATATCTGGCAAGTGTTCAAGAGTTAGATTGCAGCTGGTTATAATGACAACACTTTTTTATTACTGTAATAAGCTAGTACAACAGAGCGTCAAGTGATGCAAAATTGCTGGATTTATATAGTACTGAAAAGTAGTTCCATGTAACCTTTTAATACTAAGGTGAAAGAAATGTCTATTTTGCTGTATCTATCTTGTTGATGTTCAAGTTAGTCATGGTTAATTTTCAGTAACACCTGTCATGTACACTCACTGAATAATAGTAATTAGTAGTATAAAAGAAAAACAAAGTAGATTTCAGTTGTTCCTGTAAACTTCAAAGTAAGTGATACTATGAAAATATTCTGTAGAATGATCTTTTTTCAAGCCATAAAAATATTTTTCTTTGGTCACAAAAGAGCTTAAACTGAGCTATATCTGGTACTAAAAATATTTCCATCTATCAGGAAAGTTGGAGAATGACTTACCTCCATGATGAACAAAAACATTCGTAAAACCTTCCCTTGGGTCCAACTTGTATCTGGAAAAGTCATTGTTACTCTTAAAAAAAAATGTTAATGCAATATTCATATACCAAAAAAAATAATTTATCATCCAAAATATATTTTGGCTTGAAATAATCCATGAAGGGTTAATAAGCCATAAAAAAAGGTCCACCAATCTCTGGAGTCCAATAATTATGCACACCAAATTTTAGGGGTGTACGCAAAAGGATTTAGCTGGTTAAAGTAAGCAAATAGGCATCCTTTATATATAAAGGGGGGAAAAAAATAAACAAAAACAAACCCTATGACAAAGTGGAAAAACTATACGTGAGCTGTTTCATCCTTTGGGACTTCATTGGATGAAACACATCTGCCGAAAAACATTTTTGACTATGTCCCCCCCCAAAAAAAATTGTTCTTGATATGTAAAATTATATATATATATAATATTTATTTTCAGATTGTGTATCTATAAAGGAACAATAAAAAGATGAAGAAAACTACTCTTCATTTCATCTACCTTGATAAAGTCCTTCAGAGGACGAAAAATGTCAACTAAGAATAGTTTTCCTCTCTTGCTTATATATAATATATATATGGGTCTTTGAGAGAGAAATTATATATATATATATATATATATATATATATAAAGTAGGAAAAGTTCCCTTGTGATGCATTTTGTTCTTCAGGACTTCATTGGACTAAATTTGTTATGTTGGTATGACTACATATGTGCATGAATAATTTTAAGTTTATTTGAATGTTATCTGATAAGAAATGCTGTTCTCTATGAAAACTCTGATTGCTAATTTTTTGTGTTATCTGTGATAAGAATATTGCTATTTAATATTAAGTGAGATACATAAAACTTTAATTGGTTTAAAAAATAATTTATGAAAAATTCTTCAGTTATTCTGATGTAAAAAACAGGATTTTTTAGCTTGATAAAGTATATATGCTCTAAACATCTATATAATTAAGTAAGCAGGAAATAAACATTTCATAATTTTAAATTAAAACGGCTTTCATTATTTTAGACTGCCATTTGTCAATATTTTTTTTAATTTCATATTAAGTATTACAATTTATGGAGCTAGTCTGTCTATTTAATAAAAAAAAAACAATTATAAAATTAAATAAAACATTTGTTTTGAAGTATTATATCATGCACTTTTAAAAAATATATTTGCTAACTTTAAATCTTAAACTGGTGATTGTATGGGTCACATATATAATGCTCTTTGTTTTGTAGGTAATGCTTGCATGAATTCTGAATAACTGACAATCTCGTGCTTTCTGATTTTCAATGTCTAACAAACAGCACCAAAAATTTGACATAAAAAAATGGAACATCCCACTCCTTCCTCTAAATACTTAGTGCAGAAAAGAATACAATTGAATGACGAAGTGGGAAAACTTAATAAACTAGAAATATGTAATCATAAATAGTGTTTCAATCCCTTGCTCTTCCTACTGTCAGAACTAAAATCTGTGCTCTCTCTCATGCTCAAATACACTCATATGTCTTAATCTCCTATAATAAATAATAATTCTCTCTCCATATATATATATATATATATATATATATATTTGGTTGGATAGATGTGAGTTTGTGACCCTGGGTTTCACGCTTTAGCGATCGTCAGACAAATATGTTAGCTCTATCTCTGATATTGAGCGCTTTCTAATAAGTACGGCATGATATAATATATAAATAATTATACATATATATATATTTATTTATATTTATATTCACTTTTCACACACACACACACACACACACACACATATATATATATATATATATATATATATATATATATATATATATATATATATTTATATATAAAATGTACATGTGCCATTAGTAATTACTCAGGGTAGGCAACATTGTGACCTTTATGTAGTAAATCTACAAAAAAGTATTTTGCATAATAAAAAGTAACCTTCATAATTTTGTTGGATTTGGTGTATATTTTGCCATAGAAGGAAAATGTAGCCACTTATCTATTTTATATCAGATAGACACTGCCTACCTTGCGGAATATCCCTTATATATATATATATATATATATATATATATATATATATATATATATATATATTTCATTATCCCTAATGGATAGTGGCTCGGATTGAGGAATCGGAGAGCTGAGTTCAAATTCCAGTTGAATCTGTTACTTTCACTTGTATGCTAATACCCTTAGGAAAGGTATGAATCCTCCTCTACCCCCTCCCCCCCAAGCTAAGGATAAATAGCAGGACAGACTGGGTTCTATAGCCTTGGATGGCAACTGGTCTACTGCAGCAATTAATCGCAATCTATCGCAAAAAAAAAAAAAAAAAAATCTGCCTCATCAGTCCTGTATCAAGATACATATGTGTCACGCATGGCACAAAGAAGAAAGATATATATATCAGAAAGCCATGGCAATATTTTATTTTTCAAAATCGAGAATTTGATTTCACTTCACCAGACAAACATAACCAATTAACTTTATATATATATATATATATAAGAAATTTTTATTAATAAATTCTACCAAAAATATTTTTTTTTTGTTTTGTTTATTTTTTTTAAGTGTATTTTAAATAAGCTAAAAATTAAATGCAATCATCATTGAATATTTATAAGAGTTGCTGTAAAATACATTGATATTGTGTGGGCATTGTTTAAAGTAATCAGATCAAACTGTATAAAAAAAATATTTTATTTAAGCTGGTTTTAAAAATGTTACTTTATTTAAATTCCTGCTGTGATGTTGACAAAGGCTTTGGCCTTCATGCTTTTGAAGCTTAAGTTAAAAAATACTTGATTTATAAAATCTGTGTATTTCTTATGTGTAGTCATAAGAGGTTTTCCAAAATCACTGTCTTTTTCAAGGAAAAATTTTCAAACAATTTATTTAATTTGTTTGACTTCAAATCAGTGTAAGTGAGCATTAATTTTCCTTTTAATAATATTTGTATTTAGATAAGTTAAACTAATTTTTATATCTTAATAAAGTTAAACTAATTGTCAAGAGTGAAGTATTAAGGTTCATGAGAGAACTCTCTTAATTTAGGTGATTCCTGTGACACCTCATTTTGGTGAAAGTCAGTATGAGGGATGCTGAAAAGTTTCCATCCAGACCAAGAAGTGATTAAAAAGAAGAAAAAAAATGTTTTTTTCAGTGGGGGAAGTGGATTGGGCAAATAACATTACAGCACCTTATAAGATTGAACTTAGAAAAGATTCAGAGGAGGACTTTTGGAATGGTAGCATTTCTTGGGAAATGCTAAGCACCTTTCTACCTCTGTGGGTTTGTACACTAATGAGCCTATCCTTTCTCAAGGACACTGCTTTATTTTTGGTGTCATAAGTTAGTCATTCATATCAAAGCAAGTTTTATCTCATTTGCAAAATCTTAAAAAATATAAGTGAGAAAATTAAAGGCTATATATATATATATATGTGTGTGTGTATGTAGAAATTCAAATTTCATTTAAACAATAACTTTAATAATATAAATTCTACTTATAAATGTAAGATTAACAATATTGCCATCAACATATTTTGCTCAAATCACATGCACTATAACTACAAAAAGCATGGATAAAAACAAGATTCACTGGTTGATATAAAATAGCCATTTAAGTTATCATTTAAAATTTAAAACCAGTTGCATAATAATGAAAAAAAAAATCTCTCAATCCACCAACCTAAGACTCCTGTTGTTTATGAATTCATTTGTCCGATCAGAGAATGCATCTCAGTAATTAATAAACACAATGTCTTGTATAGGTTGTACAATAACCACTCTTTCATGTAGAATTACATGCCATTTATCTGACCAGTGTGTCATTAGGAGTAAGCACAATAAGAATTATAATAGACACTTCCTTCTGAGTAATACTAGAGTTCTTTTTAAATCTAATTGTTAAAAAAAAGAAAAAAAAAAGGCTAAAGATTATAGGGGCCATTTATCCAACTTAAGCAAATATTCATGAATAATAATAATTTATAATAGTAAAAAAATAAAATTATAATAAATTACAAAACTAATTATTGTTTGTAAGCTTGCAATCTTGAAGGCATACAAAAAAATTTGTCTGAACTTTTGGGATGAGGAGTTATGATTTACATTTGGACTATTATCCTCATCTTTGTTATCACATTTCAAATGAAAACACAATGGCTGAAATGTTGCAATAACTGCAAAGATGAGGATAATAGTACAAATGTAAATTTTTAAAAAAATTCTAAACAGTGACTACTGACCTGCTGCATTTGATTTAGTTTTCAGTAAATTACACTTTCAAAAAATGTTAGTCTCCTCCTTAACCCCCCCCCACCTTGATGACTAAAAAACATGTTCCATGTCGTGTAGAATCTGTTAGTATGTTAAAATGCTAGACACAGTTTAAGAAAACAAGTTCTATTGTAGTTATCAGAAAAGTTAATTGTATATTTTGTAAAGCATCCAGTTGATTAAATTTGTTTTTACAACTTGATTCATTGTGCTTACTCCACAGAAGAAAGACATTCTTACATGTCTTTATTTTCAAGGAATTACAGACAATATGGAAAAATGAGATAGTGATTAAAACAATGTTATTTCAGAAATGGAATTTTTTGCTTTGAAATTTTTTTTCTTTTCAGCCTTCAAAGCTATGTAAGGGAACAAATTCTTCAAACAGTGGCTGTTATTTTAAAGAGAGGCACAATTGATGAAAAAGGTGCTAGCCGAGAGTCCCTGTTTCAAGATGTGACACGTCTCGTAAACAGTGGTAATGTTACAATGGTAAATGATATTATTATTTCTTTTGCTTGTTAGTTTTTAATAACTCACACAAACGTTTTGCTGTTATTTAAAATGAGAAGTAATTAAAGAAACAAATAATCCATTTATCAAATATGAATTGTTTTTATAAAATTATTCAAATTTAATTAATACTTGAAAATTTAAAAAACAAAAAACTGAACTAGTTTATTATAAATACAAGAATCCCTTGATTAGTGTGGCTAATATATACATTGGTAACTATAAAAAAATCAGTTTTGAATTATTATAGTTAAACTGAATGTTTTACCACATAATATTATGTATGCACTAATCAAATTTTGGTATATAAAAATTTTAGCACACTAATCAAAAACGCATTAATTGAGGGATGCCTATAACTAATTTCAGGTAATTTGGTTTAATATAAAATAAATGTTCGAAAATTTAAATTTGAATTTTATTATTTTTAATTTTAAAACCTCCTTTTTTTTTAACAGGAATATGATTTTTTAAATAATTTTAATATATTTTTAATTGCATTGATTTTTTAAAATCAAAATTTTTTTTTTTTTTTTATTCTTTAAAATGATTCATCAGAATTTGCAATTGAGTATGAAGCAAGAGAATCCAGTTTTTTATTTTTAGTATATTTTCTTCTGCAAATCCTTTATCACTGCTTTTGAACTGGTCAGATTTAAAAAAATTTCTCCTAAAAATTTTAAAAACTGTAAAGTCTAATTGGTTTTGAGAGACCAACAAAAATTCCTGATAAAAAATGAATTCAAAATTTAAAAAAAGCATTTACTCAAGTTTTGAAGATGTTTTACCTTCCAAAGTTGTCCAAAGCCTTTAAAAATTTTTTTTTATAAAGATTTTAAATTGAATAAATTTACAAAAATTATTTTAAAACAAGATTTTTTTGTAAAATTTCAAATATGTCTTTAAAATGAGATCTTTTAGTAAATTTTTTATTTTCTGCATAATATTAGACAAAATAAATTTTTGATTGCATTTTTTCCATTTTTTTTTTATTGAAAATAAATTTTTTAATTACATACTTTTTAAAAATACTTTAAATTTTATATGATATTAATATATTCAAATTTATATAAACTGTTATTTTTCTTTTCAATTAGTATAATGTTGAACTAATTAATTCATAAATTAAAAATTTTAGTTTTATAAATTTTAAAATTTTTTATTAAAAAAAAAAAAAAAAAGGAAAAATTATAACCTGAAAAAATCCCATCAAAAAAATGATGCTTTTTTCAGTTCAAAAATAATTTGTTTTTTTTAAATTCAGATTTAGAATAACATTAGCAAGAATTATATATTTAATTCCTCAATATTTTTAAAAAATTTTTTTCCTCTTTTAATAAATGCTTTGAATAGATAATCTGAAAATACTTTCCATCAAGTCAAGAACGAATAAATTCTTAAATCTGTAATTTCTGGTCAATTTTTTCAAAATTTTTTAAATTTATTATATTGTCATGTTTAAAATTAAAATTTTGAAAATTAATCTTAATAAAGTTATTCCCACAATTGTAAAACTAAAATTTTTTTTATCTTTTTAATGGCAACTTTTTGCCAGTTGATTTCCAATAGAAAAATTTTAAATAAATAAATTTAGAATAATTTTTTTTTATAATTTTGTCCATTTTGAAAAAATGTCTAAAAATAAAAAATTATCAAAACTGCAATTTTTTTTTTCTTAAAAATTTTAAAAATACATGTATGTTAAAAATACTTGATGAAATGGTTTATTTTTTTATAAATTGCTTTGCTTTTTCAAAAAAAAGATTTCTTTTTTAATTTGTTTCAAATGTTATACTTTTCTTATATATATATATATATATATAAAAGGTATTTTTTTTTTTCAGGACTTATAACATTTTAAAATTTGAAATTTTTATCAAATTTATGAAAATAGCATTTTGAAAATTTTCAAATAATTTCAAATGGAAAACTTTTAAATGCAAATTTTTTTTTTGAATTGATTTATTTTAAAAATTAGTATAACACAAAAACAAATATTGCTGATTTGATAAATTTTCAATTTTTTTGAAAGCACAATTTTGAGTTATTATCTTCCTTATTCATTAGCAAATTAATGGAAAAAATTTTTTTTTGCAATGAACCAGAAAATCTCATTTAAATAAAAATTACCTAAGGTTTTTTTCCTAAAATAACAGATGTTTTATGTCAAAATTTCAGTATTCAAATTTGACCTTATTGAACTATAAATTTTTATTTATTAAGACAAGAAAATACAAGTGTCATTTTTTTATTGAGAACTTTTGAAATCAAAAATTTTTTTTTGATAACAATTTCAAATAATAGATCCATAAATTAAATGAAATTGCATTAAATTTTAATTAGAAGAAAAGTTCAAAACAACTTTCATTTTGAGATTTTCATTTTATGAATTAGTTCAAAATTAAAAAATAAGAAATACAAAACTAAATGTTTTTTTCACATTTTTTTTTTATTTTTTCTAAAAATTTTTTTTAGCCTGAAAAAAAAAAGTTATCTAAAGCTTGATAAACTCTTTTGGAAACCAAAATTTAAACAATTTAAATTTCAGTTGACCTAAAAATGTATTGTTATATCTGAAAGGTTTTTATATATATATTTATATATTCAATTTTTTTTGGATTAATTCAATTTTTTAAAGAATCTTTAATACTTTGGTCAAAAAGGAAAAAAAAAATTTTTTTTTAAAAAAAAAAAAATTTAAATTTGTTTTTAAAGATTTTAAAGACAAGGAAAATTTTGAACAATTTGATCTTTTAAGAATTGGCCTTTTTCAAAAAATTTTTTGGTTTAAATTTTTAAATTTAAATTCAAAATTTAAAAATTCAAAAATCCAAATATTTTTTTATTGGATAAATTTCATATATATGCTATGAAAAAAATATATTTCACTTTTTATTTTTAATTGAAATTATAAAAATTTTCGTTAATTTTAGTTTTTTAAATGGAAAATAATAAGGATTATAATGATCAACTTGATTTTTGGTAAAAAAGAGTTTTAAAAATTATTTTAAAAAACATTCTTGTTTTATCAGCCCAAATTTTTTATACCTTTTCTATAAATGAAAAAAGAAGAATATTTCATTTAATTTTAATTAAGACACTATTAAATTAACTGTTCAATAAAAGTCAACTTTATTTTTAATATAAAAAATATATAAAATATCAAAAAATTTTTATAAAAATGTTTTTTCCTTGGACATGTTTTTTTTAAAAAAAATGAGCAAAAAAAAAGAATGTTCTGTTTAAATAAAATTTCATCATATTCAAGATACAGTTATAAAATATATATTCCAATATATATATATATAATATATAATGATAACCAAAAAGAAAAAAAAAATGGTTTCACCTGGTATTTGAAAAAGAACAAAAGCATTGATGCCATTTTAACCCAAAAATATCATAAATTTATGCATTCAAAGACAATTAGTTTTTTTAAGAAAACCATCAAATTTCTAAAGTTGTCTTGAACAAAGTCAAAAATCAAATGAATCCATAAAAGTATGGTAACAGAAAATAAGGACACACATCTGTCAATAGATGACTTCAAAAAAAATATAGATTATTTTTACAGCCATTGATTTTTAAATTTTTTAGAGGAAAAATTTTTACCCAAAAAACTATTAAAATAAATTTTAAATGTGTAATCAAATTTTTAAAGTTTAATATTAATCAGAAAGGTATTATACTTATTGTTAATTAAATAAACATTTATTTTAAAAATTGAGCAATGAAAAATTTTTAAGTCTGAAAATTTGTCAATTTTTACAATTTTTAAATAAAAATCAAGATTTTTTAAAATATAATAAAATTCAAAACATTTCAGTTTTTTCATTTAAAATTTAAAAAAAATTTTTCTTTTATTGTTTTAAATTTGTTCTTTTATGAAATATTTTAAGAATTTGATTTTATTTAAAGTAAACAAAATCTTTTCTTATAAAGTAAATTAATTATTCATAATTTCTTCTATATAAAATTCATTTATTTTTAAAATTCCAAATGGGCAAAATAGATTTTCCTAATTTCAAATGTTCATTTTTGAAATTTAAAAAAATATCTATTTATTTTACTAAATTAATAAAATTTGGAGAGAAAATATAATGTATCTAATATTTGTTTTTTTAATGTTAAAATTATTAATAAAGAAATTTAGGGAAAAAGTTTTAAAAAAAAACAAAAAAATATTATATTAAACATAGGTACCTCCATGAAATCGCTAAAAAAAGAGCATAGCTTGATGAAAAAAGACGCCAAACTTGCCGAAAAAAAAATTTTATTGTCTAAATGCTTATGTTATTATTAAGAGGAAAGACCAAAGTTTTTTTTAATTATTTTAAAAAATTTTCCTTCTTTTTAGAACATTCTAAATTTTGATTAAAAAACCTTTTTTCTATTTGTATCAGCGGAACTAGTAAATAACATAGACAATTTTTAGCACGTTTTTTTTTTATGACACACATTAATTTGAAAAATCGTGCAAAAATAAAAATAATTATCGGATGTTAATGAAACTTTCAGAAACTATTCACAGATGATCGAAATTATTATAAATATGTTTTTTTTTTTATTAAAGTCATGGTAGAAATATTTTTTTTTTAAAATATTTATTACCCCCCCATAACTAATTTTATGAAAACGCTAGAAATTCGATCGCATCGGTTTTAGTGATTACAATAATTAAAAAAAATACAGGGCTTTGAGGAATGCAAATCATGTTTTTTTTTTTTTTTTAATTGGATACCCAGTACCTGAAAATCAGCTCTGAATTGTAACATACAAAACTCAATAAAACAAAGATATTATTTAATTTCAAATGCTTTTATTTGCTTTTAGTTGTTTTTATGAATATGGACAATATTTTCTGAAAGCAAAAAAATTTTTTTCGATGAAAAATGAATTTTTAATACAATTATTTGTTATTTCATTAATTATAATAGATTTTACATTTAAGTTGT